AAGCAGGGGAAGATGGAAAGAAAGGAAAGTTGGTAGAGAGCAACTATGAGAAGATGTAAAACTCTGCATCACAACAACAAGTCTGGGCAGCCTCTGCTGGCTTAATTGTGGTTATTGTTTTCTCTCAGAGGTCCATATTCTCGAAAATATTCCAGCTAACTAACTGCTTGAACTTGTTATCGAAGCAATTAACGAGCCAAAAGCAGCCTGCTTTAATTTCCTTTAATCAAGGAGTATTCTGTGATAGATCATCCAGCTGGGTGCTTGGCGCTGCCGCAGCCTGCATGCTGGGCCCACTCCAGAACCAGCAGACAAAAGGAGGACATCTGCATTTGTCTAAATGCTTTTTAGGCAGCATTCACAAGCACATTGTCCATGAGAGCATACACAATCACACCATTCACCGGCAATCTCAAAGCTCACAGTGTGTTGATCTGCACCCAGTGAAGAACATAAGGCTTGGTATAAGATACACATCTCTAACATAATCCCGCTGCTATACAATTTGTAATGGATTTTCAGTTCCACCCATTCCCCATATGTTAGAATAGCTCTCCCGATGTGGCAATACGATAAGAGACAAGCTAATGTATTGCCTTGATATTTTCCAGACCAGAGTTGTCCTAAAGTGGTCCAGTCTGAAAGAAAAACACCCAATTAAAGCCCCAAACACCATTTTTTGGGGAAATGATAAATAATAGTCATTAATTCAAAGGTGAATTCCAGTAAACTCATGCCATTCATCAACAGAATATTTTTCCATTTCCAGAAAATCCGTTCCTTTTAACCTTTTAGACACTCCAGGGTGGTGATGGATGGGTTGCTTAATAGCAGCTCGAAACACTCTGTAATGAGCCAGACATGAACATAGGATACAGCCCAATGACTAAAGAGGTACATTACCTAAAAGGCACTAAAACTCATTTTAAAAGAATATCACAGTATGCAGCATAGTCTAAGGCTGAAGCACATGGTTGTTGGAGGAAAGAAAGGAAAGAAGCGTGGGTGCATTTCAATATAAGGTGCAACAACAAGGCTAGGGGCATTTTATCATTAAGCTAGTGATTTAGTGTCTCTTAATATGAAAAGACACTCCTCATCTATCTGGATTGAGATCCGCAGACTCATAAAACAAAACTGACATCTACAGTTTATCAATCACAGCGTCAGTAATCCAGACATTTTCAAATTAATGAAAGAGCGTCATTATTCTTAATTACTTTAGATGCCAAATTATTATTCAGCCAGTACATGTGTCCACAAATATATTGGAATAACTTTACTGGGTAGCAAAGAGCAGAGTGAGTGTTCCAGGGCTCAGAGGCATGGCTGCCACCACCGATGCCTTATTACTATTCCAGATAAGATTTACTTAGCATGGCCTTTGGCTTTATACAGTATGAACAGCTCAGGCTAATTTAAGCACTGCTTTGTTTGCGGTGTAAAGTTATGTAATGCCCAAAATGAGTATTTGAAATTCCTGTAACTGCCAGAAGGGGTGAATTAGGGGGAGTATTGGGGGTACAAGTGCTAGGACATTTATTCAATAACGGGTGGAAAATCCGGTCATAATTAACAGATAGATTGGGAAATACACTGTTTTTGGTTTAAGTAAGTGTAGAAGAAGGAAAAATGGCCGATAGAAGTATCGAGGCGATTTGATTCAAATGTCAATGTGAGTTTTATTGTTGTGATTTAATTTCCTTCTGATTCCATTACTGCTCTTCTCATTCATTTGCAAGCCGTCAACAAGATGTGAAGGTATGAGAGTAGAGGGTGAAGGTCAAAGCATCAAGAAAAAGATAATGCAATTGTTCCTCCAAGAGTTGTGATTTAGTCTGCTTGTGGAAAGCAAAAAATAATAAAAATCCAATCAAAAAGCAATTCATATATTCAAAACAGACAGTATAGACGAAGAAAACGGTGGAATATGTTTTCACCCCCAAAGACTGTACTGGCGCATATGTCGTTCTGCACTGTCAAATGGTTGAGCATAAACAGTTGTCATGGAAATTACTTTTAAAGTTCTCATTTATAACTAAAGAGGAGCGTTTAGGATCCGTGTGGATTAACATGCAGTAGATTCCTTTGTGTGTCGTTTGAAATAGGCTGCATTTAAGAACACAATAAGAAAAAAGGCATTTCAGAGAGGCTCTGCCCGGGCAAACCTAGGAAAATTACATTTCTTATTGCAAATATGTGAAGCTGCAGTTTCAAGGACAGCCGTCTGCCATTTATTTTCTGCCAGGAAACTTTGAGTCTTTATGTCTGTCTGTAAATGTCTATTCCAACCTCCCCCCCCCATTGTCTCATTGTTCCCACTGCAGGCTTGTACATGGGCGTTTTGTAATCGGTACACCATCCGCTCTTTCCATGAGATACCGACTAACTGTAGCTGGAAACCATGAATGATTTTTTTTCTGTTTGTTTTTGTTTGTTTTTTTTAGCAACAAAACTGTTACATAAAGTGTGCCTGAAAACCAACACAGTACTATGTGGAAACGAAGAGAGAAACACTGTTATTATACAATCAATTGTAGATTTGGGGGCACTGTTCATTCAAAGGTGGGATAGTATCATTTCTATAAAGGACATTAAGATTTATGTTTAAAATGAACAGCATCTTTGATTGTAAATGACCACATGCTTGCAGGTTCACGCTGTACAAGAAACAACAAAACCACATTTTTAAAAGTTAAAGAACCCTTGGTGTCCCCATGTTGTTCATATGTAAATATCTTTAAAACATATGTGTAATCTGAATTCTTAGGTGGAGTTAAAAAAAAAAAAAAAGACGTAAGAAATGTGAAAAATGTGTATTATTCATTGAGGCAAAAACTATTTTATTAAATAGACATGAAAAAAAGTGTTATTCAGCAAAAGTGAGGTTGGATTTCTTTTTTTTGGAAAAATGCTGATGCTTCTGGACACAATTCAAGATGAAAGCACAAGATTAACAACTGAGGGAAAATGTGTAATATAAGTCTGCCAAAAGAACAGATTTTCTCAGCACTTGAATGAACCGTATTATGTTCTGCATAAACGAGAAACAATGTGTTTACCCACGACACAGCCAAACTCTGGGTCATTTTTCCGACGCTAAACATTGCAGGATAAATAAAAGGTGCAGTATTTTCCTGGGGCTATGTGAGAAAGACTAAATATAAAATACCAGTGCTTAATGCTTCAAGGGCATTACTCACAGGTTCATTCCTGCTTCCATTTCATTACAAGTCCGACTGGGCTTCTATCTCGTCCGCACTACTAATTGCCTTCCAGCACCTCCCGCCGTGGACAAGAAAAGGAAAGCAATTTTATGCAGCACATCGCAATCAATAGCAATTAGGCGCATTCCAGACTAATCCCATTGAAAATGGCATCTTGGGAGATGGCCAGTAGGAGACCTCTTAAAGCACACATACCTTCAGGCCAGTGTTGGCAGTGGGGAACACACACACAATTTAGGTGGACACAGCAAGTGCCAATGCTGTGACGGAACTTTAATTGCTTTGTTTTTCCTACTATACACTTTTTGTTGAATCTTTGTTGGTCTTTTCATGGACCTACTCACTGCATTTGTATCAAACACGCATTATCAATTAGATAGATTAGATCCTTATGTGGTAAACTAGTGCAGATTATGGAATGCAATCGCACTCTAAAACCACACAGTAAATACAGCGGCAGGCTAGACATAGATTTGAGTGTGACACACACACACAACAGATAAAACTGCATACATGGGCTAGTGATAGTGGAGAAGGACCAACAGCGATGCAGGAATTATTGGTGTGGTGGTGAAGAGGGAGCAATTTACCAGTAGATCTACTTCATCTATGGCCAAGAGCTCGGGGTAATAACCTGAGGAATCAGAGTGAGGACACAAGCAGCTGAAGTGGGTTTAACCTAACCTGGATATGTTTGAGTTAGCCGGTTGGCCTAATCCAAAACTTACGCGCTCTCGCTAAACTGTACTACGACGCGGGTTATCAAGTGGATCGCTCAAACCAGCCGTGTCCTATCTAGTTAGGTGCGCGTTCACATGAAAGGGGTGGTATTTGGAGCATTCGACCAATCACAAACATGGAGAAGCGTACTGACAGCGCAGCGCGTCATACTTCCTGAATGAAAAGTCAACTATAATATTAGACATATGAAGAAGTTAAACCTTAAACATCCATGACTTAAACACTGTATCCAGGATAAAAGCCACATAGTTGCACCTGCAAGGCGAATACAGCTGGTAAAAGAAAAAGTGTTTGAATGCGTACATTAACAGGTTTATGATATCACTGCCCCGTCTAAGACACGAGTGGATCTGACTTTAATTACATTTGTCTTTAGTGTTTCGTCAACTTAATGTGTTGCTTAAAATAATACTTCTGCATACAGTATGTGACACTGTGAGTGTTGCACGGCCAGATACGGCTCAGCTGACTCAGATAAGGAGATATATGATAGATTATGATGTGATATGCCGCGGACTGTACTTAATGTTAATTTGATCCGGTTACTTATGTTGTGGCAGATATTTAAGTAAGCTTTCTTAACGCTAATGTTATAATAGTCAGATTGCTCTGAAGATGGGAGGGGATATTCTATTAATGTTCACATTCACACAGTCGGGGATTTTTGCCGGCCGTCTTTCCTGCAACGGCAGCTTTTCTGTATTTCCTTTCAGCTGTAATATGACTTGATCGCTTTAAACTCCGCACACTGAGCTCTGATTGGTCAGCAGCCAGTGCTTTCACTGAGTTGAGCTCTTAGCCTGCAACCTAACCTGCTGCTCCGGGGCAAGTTACCATGGAGATCTAGCCTGCTAAAAAGAGAACCAGCATCGTAGGACCGGAAACCCAGAGTTTTCCCTGAAGTTAGTCGTCTAAGCAAAAATCCTGCTTCGTAGTACAGGCCTCTGATGAAGGTTTTTTTCCAGGTATGTGTGTATCAATTGTAGGAGACATATTTAACCCGCGAAAAATGAACAAACAGCAAATTGGGCACATTGGCACTTTATTATTTTAAGCAACATTCAAATGTTTCGGTGATAACTGTCACTTAATCATTGCATATAAAAAAAACTAAGAGAGAACATGATGACCATGCTTAAGGACACGTTATAAAAGAGCAAAATTGTTATTGAATATAGGAAAACCTGTTTAAACCTATGTTTGAGGGTGAGACACGGGGAGGAGTCGGAAGGCAGCGATGCAGTCGATGATCCAGTTGGAGGGAGCGGACCACACCTTACCCCTCCTCACCGCTGGTGGCTTGTGGGGGCCCTGGCGTTCAAAGATGATGTACTGGGTGCAGAGGGCCTGGTCGGAGCCCGGCAGAGCGTGGTAGGCCGCAGCGCTCAGGGTCTGCGTCACGTCGCTGTCGGGCTTGGGCTGCCGGATCAGGAGCTGACCCCCCCCCTCCCGGAGCAGCTTGGTGAGCTTGTCTTTGGACGGCGCTTTGAAGGAGCCAAGGAGGAAGAAGAAACAGCCATCGAAGAGCGGTGGGAGCTACAAAATATGAATTCAAGCATTAGTAGGGGGGCTTTTATTAAAGGTCCCCTATTATACTCTTTTTCATCAATATATTATAAGTCTCAGATATATACAAAGCATGTCTCTGAGGTGTTTGGCTCCAAACACCAAACAGATCATTGCAGCATCCCACAATCCCCTCTGTTTCAGGCCTGTTTCAAAAGTGCTGATTCTCTGTCTGTTACTTTAGATGAAAATAAGGAGCCCCTCCCCACGCCCCTCTGCGAGATATTTGGTTAAAAACAACACAATGGTGCTCTAGGAGGAGATTCAGGTGATAAGGGGGGGAGGGGGGGTTACCTTGGTTGGTGATTGGCTAATGGTTACACAAGCCAAAAAATCGTTATGACATCATAAAATGGCCAAAAATCTGANTTGAGCTGAATAGTACAGAATAGGAAAGACAACAGCATTCACCCAACTCAAGACCCACCTCAGCGAGCTCAAAGATCTGGCCCATTTTGGACTCTCTGCGGCAGAGAGTCCAAAATGGGCCAGATCTTTGAGCTCGCTGAGGTGGGTCTTGAGTTGGGTGAATGCTGTTGTCTTTCCTATTCTGTACTATTCAGCTCAAAGATCTGGCCCATTTTGGACTCTCTGCCAGCTTGGAAGAGTCTTTGCCAGTCGCAAGAGAATTTGCGCTTCTGCTATTGGAAAAAAGGAAATTGGACTGATGTGCACAAACTTGGATGAACTGAGGTTCATAATTGCATCAACAACAGATGCAGCCTCGGAAAATCTGCCGCCAACAGAGGATGCATTTCAACAACATGTACAAAGTGCAATGTTTCAGACAGTGATATGGTGTCACAGGCCGAACCCAAACCCTTGTTATGGAGTCCTGTTGGCAGGGGGTGGATTGTCAGAGATGGGGCCATGAAACCAGGGGACACATTGACAGAATGTCAAAATGTGTCCCCTAACGTTTCTGAGGAACCTGACATTTAACATTATATTCTAGTATCTATATACTTGACCTCTCACTGAATTATTTGATGATTTGTATACTTTACTTTGAATTAAGGTTCCAGTTTCAATAAAACCTGTACTATTTACACCTATGTTTTAGAAGCTTGCCATTTAGAACTAATACACTTAATTGTATTGGGTTACTCTTATTCTTACTATTTGGTCATGTAGTTCAGCCACCTGGTATTTCCCTCTCCAAATATAATGACCATCAGAGTGAGCATTCTTAACTTATAAGCTATTGTGCCACTTATCCCCCATTCGGAGTTTGACTGTCTGAGAGAAGAGGTACAGTAGGCATATGTCTAAAGAAATCTCATTTGCAATAGAACTGTACCAGATATTTCCATACAACTACTGGTTAGTGTTCAATAGCACCCTAGACAATTCAGTAATGGTATATTTTTTAGGGATTTCTGTGTTTCTGATAAATGAGAGAAAAGTGATTGAGTCCTAGTTCCTATCACCAAAAAGTACAATTTCCTTCTAAACTAAAGCTAAGTTTACAGGACTATAATTCAGTATTTCTTTAGTTAAATAATTGTCTGACTATTTGGTGATGTAGGACAGCCACCTGGTTCATACCTCAGCAAATCTGAAGAGGAAAAGAGAGGCCATTTTCAAGTCACCTTTCCCATATTCGGCCTGGTCTAATTTGGCTATTTTTCAGGGATTGGAGTAGTTCTAAAGAACAACCAAAAAAACATGTTTTCCCCCAAAATAAAATTTGACAACAATCAATTTCATTAATGGGAGACCCTAAAGATAAGAAAAATCATTGTTGTCATTTCTTTTACCTCGGGTAGGGGTATCTCCAAAACTAAAGCCTTTTTTGAGGACTTACTGCTGGACTATCAGGGTTAAGCATCTTGCCCAAGGATACATCGACATGTTGACTGCATGGGCAGGGATCGAACCCACAACCTTCTGGTTGAAAGACGACCGCACTCCCTCGCAGCCACAGTCGCCCCACAACACCTTATTCTGTCCATATTAAAAAGATGTCCATCCCACTCCTTGATCCTTGAACTGATTGCAGAAACACAAACAATCTGCCAGTAGCTTGCGGCCCAAAAAACTAAAAATGTGACCCTGTATAAATAATTTTCAGTAGTACGTCGCTGATATCGTTACTTTAATCAAATAAAATATAATCAAGGTCACTGTCTCATTATAATGAGAACATTTTAACAAAAATATATTTGTCCTGCATACTAATCTCTAAATGTTCTAGTATTGCTAATTTACATGCTCTGTAAATGCTCAATGGGAGACATGATGGCGCAAACAATGATAACATTAGTCAATGACTGGAAATAAACAGTTACACAGTTTAGAAACAGTTGAGAAGATTGACTAATCCCTGGCACTGCTTTTACATACATAGCTTTGACATGCCACTAGTCCATAGCTAACAATAATCTAATTAGTCTAGAATAACCTTCTGTGTTTGAGCCCATCAAACAAATAATGAGAAACGAACCATCTCTTTGTCAGACGGATTTTTTTCTGTGCAGCTCTCTGCTTCTAAGTGTAGGCACATTAAGTTCAACATCATGCTCATTAATACCAAACTTTTACTGTGTCTCACCCACATCATGATGCAAAACTCAATTAATTTGTGAAACTGATAATTGTCTGTTTCTCCAACATAGACTTTAGAGCCAGCTCTTTAGGGTGATGGTTTATTTTTGTTGTTATAGCAAGACATTATCCTCATTATGAGAAACTCAGCACATTTTATTATAATTATGATTTCCCTTAAAACAGAATATAATATGAGCATTGAGTTCAAAACAGATTTGAAATCTAAGCCAACTAAGTGAAATAACTGCATTGATATACTGCACTAATAGCTATAGTCATGAGATGGCCACACAGCCAGCCTTAAGTACAGATTGTATTGTACATTTTCCCCCCTGCAGTTGTTTCCTGAAATAAAAAATAAAGGCTATGCATTACATCACTGTTTCTGCTCTTCACTCCTTTTTAGGGCAGCTTACTATTTACTTGACCTTCTCTTCGGCTATTGAATATGAATAAAGGGATTTTCTCTTTACTTGAGAGAACATTGTGTAGAAAGCCTGCATTATTAGCACTTCTGAAGCTTCAATCTGTGCATGTTTATATTCAGACTAAATCTAAATGTAGGAGATGTTTACGATCAGATTACTTATTTTGTATTGTGTTAATCAACAGAAACCAATCATCCATAAGTTTACATGTTCCACTCATTTTACCACACTGCATAGCAACACTGATAGCATTGATTGGTGTTGTTTGTTAAATAAATGTGCACACCCGTTAAGATTAGAGCTAAAACAGTGGAAATGTTTCACTTGGCTGTACAATATGCTTCTAATGCTGTCTCCTGTGGTGCATCTTCAAAGCATGACACAAATACTAATACCATGTGGGAAAGAACATCTCTCAAATCTAGAATACTAATTGGGAGATCCACCTAAAAAATGTTTTATGGTTATGTAAGTTCTGACGAAGACTCCCTATAAAAGCTACATTTTCCAAAGTGGAACTGGTCCATTACACAAAATGCTCACAAATATCTTTTAATAATCACCATTTACTGTCAGAGGCTTTGGCGTTTCCATCAGTCATAAATGCAATTGGGATACTGCCCCAAGATCACAAGAATAGCAAATGTGATTTTCATGTTGGTGTAGGCATCTGCCTTCATTTGCATCACAATTACCCTACACATTAATTCTTAATTCCTATTTTGGCATTCAACTGCTCTTGTGTTTGTTCTGAATAATTGGATGCAGAGCCATTAACAGGGTTTCAATATTAGCTCTGCCTATGAATGGAGCCAATCTAATGTGTTGAAGTCAGTTGAAATGAGTATGTGTGTTTGTAAAGCCAGACTGGCTGCTTAAATATTCACAACTTTATCACCCAAACTGAGAGAAAAGCACTCAGTGCTGCTGCGGTGTGGTAATGACATGAAATTAGTAAATGGTCTTCTTAAGGGACTTTTAAAAAGGAATATCAATGTGACAGCAGTCTACATGAACCAAACGATTGCACAAATACAATGCCATACAATATCTTTAAATTATTATTATTATCAGAAAATAACTTTGTGAAGCAGATGAAGGTCGTCAATATTGCAAAAATGTACATGGCGTTACATTATATCTATGTTATCTTTTCAGACTGTTTGATGCTGATATAAGGTTTTCTATTCATACTTTCACAGCACTTGCACAGCCTTTTGAAAAAAAGGAACTCCCTGGGTGTACAGCTCAATAATTGTTTTTACAGTGTTTGACCTCAGAGGACACCTTTCATTGTCTTAGCAGTCGAAGTTTTAGATAATGGAGTAAAATGAATGATTTAGAAAACCTCTGTATCCATGACAACTGAAGGATTACAGGATTAAACACATGATCAGACCACTGAGAAAAGATGCTTTCTTCCTACACAGAGGGATTTGTTTTTGGAGATGGATTTGTAGGTACCCAATCACACACCCCAGTGGCATTGCTTCATTCTGTTTTTATCGACTGACATAAAACATAAAGATCAGACGGATGAGACTGACCGAGCGATTTAACAGAAGCTGATCTGTAGTCACAGAACAGAGTGAGTCCACAGCACAAGCAACAGGCCCAATAAAACAACAAACAGAAAGAGACCATTGGCTCCTCTTCTAAACAATCCCTTAATGACGGCCTGGCACGGTTCACTGCTGCGTTTATTGTCAAAAACCTTCTTTGGGACATGGCCCATTCCTATTCAGTTGAAGGGTATTCATTTAACGTTTTTTTTTTTGCCAAATTGGAAAGATTTCAGAAAATCTTTATTGATGGAAACCAACCAAGAAGTTAGAGAAAAGCAGATGTTGCTTTTTGGTGTCAATAGCATCATGGGGGCCATCTGCTGCAGAAAATACACACAATTAAGAGATCCTGGAGAGATAGACTTTTTTATTTTTGTATCTAGTGTCAATAAAGTGGTGTTAGAGGAATCAGTTCACAGTGCAAGGA